CCCCCCTCCCCTGGTGGTCCTTATTCCCTCCCCCTCCTTACTCACACCCCCCCCCTCCTGCCTATGTAGCATGACCGGGCGGCGCGGAACGCGGGACAGGAACTTCTGTTTCCTGTACCCGGCCGCCGGTGGTCTGAAGGGAAGTGCTCACTGAGTTTAACCCTGGGAGTTATCTTGGGCACGTAGCGATACAGACCCCAAGATCTCCAACTATCCGGACCCTTGTCCAGTAGCCTGACAAGAGGCAGGCAACCCGAGCCGTGTCCAGTTCATCTCACCGCACTGGCTACCCACTGACCACCACACCTTCTCACAGCACCCTGCACCCATCCCTGTGCTGTTGTTGCCCCCCCACTCTCCTTCTGCTCCTTGCTGACTCTTCTTGCTCCTTGTTGACCCCTCCTGCTCATTTATGCTCCTTCTACTTTACCCTCCTGCTCCTTGCAAACCTTTCCTGCCCCTTCCTGCTTCTTGCTGCCCCTTCCTATTCCTTGCTGACCCCTCCTGCCCCTTGCAGAACATTTCTGCTAATTTCTGCTCCTTCTACTTTACCTTTCTGTAGCTTGTCTCCCCCCCATCCTTAACTTACCTGATCTGTAGGCTGCCCCCTACCCCCCATGCCTCACTTACCTGATCTGTGGGCTGCCCCCTTCCCTCACTTGACCGATCTGTAGGCTGCCCCATCCCTTACCACCTGATCTGTAGGCTGCCCCACCATCCCTCACTTACCTGATCTGTAGGCTGCCCCCCCATCCCTCATGTAAAGGGATCCCCCATCACTGTTCGGCTACTTACTTTCATTTTATCATCCTGTTTCACTTTGTTCGCCATTTTGTTCGGTTCCCGAACCGAGACCACCCCAGAGACTAATTAGAACTTGGAACGTTATGTATATTGTGGGGATATTCATGGGATGATAAATATTAAAATAATATTTTCATAAAAATTATCAAAAGGTAATTTAATTATTTTTATTATATCAAAATTGATAATAATGGCACTGTCTCCAAATATGATAATAGAAAGCTGAGAATTTCCCACTATATTTTATATTCTCTAGATCCTAGAGAAAGCTCATTTAGAGGATTTTACTCCATACAGTAAAGCACAATTTCTTATAAAAATATAATTTATTGTGACAATAATAATAAAAATAATAATAATATGTAACATGTGTGACAATCAGTGAATATTTAGTATAACATAGGCATACGATATGGCAATGGTTTAAACAAATACAAGGGCTGACCAGTTGTCAAGAATTTACAAGATTTATGACAGCTTAGCAATTTCACAGACATAGAACTCCACAGCACAGCGAGAAGCAATAAAACTTTGTCTAATAGTTAGATCAACTGAGTAACCCTTTCAATGCTAGCTAGAATCCTCCTAGGCATGTAATATCCTATTCTGTTGTAATTTTCAATTAAAGCAATGTTCATACCAGATCATTAATCATTCCTGGAACCATCCAATAAGAATAATCTACCAGATTTTACATTAGCCGAATTTTAATTTCCCTACATAAGATGCACTATCTTATTTCAGAGGATAAATGCGGCATGCTAACATATGACAAATTTATCATTAATATATCGTTATCGTTTATTCCACCTGCAGAATGGAATTTTTATAACCATATGTTCTTTAGTTAACTAAGATTTCTAATAATTGAAATCTGATTGAGATTTATCCAGGCATATATATTCCTGCTATAAGTAAAAAAATTAATTAATTTAAATTAATTAAATAAAACCAGCATAATTACCAGTTATGTTGTAGAAGTTCTTATCAGATGAATTCAAAGATCTGTCCCAGGATTTGAATGCAAGTATGATTGATGTATAGAGGTGTGCATGTAATAGAGAAAATGGTGTTGGTTTGGAAAGTTGAGTCATAGAGAG